AATTTTATCAGCCATCTGAGGCATTTCATGGGATGGTATAAGATGATGTCTTAGGAGCAATAAAATAGAAAAATTCAGGAAGAAATCCTAGAGTACATTGATTCTCCTGTAGATGTCGTGCTGGGATGTGATCAGTGAGCTGGCTATTCATTACAAGTTCTGTGGATTATAGCTGTTAATTATACTAATTTAACTTATTTTTAAGATGAAAATTGTTAAAAAATGTATCCTGCCCCCATATTTTTATATATTTGTAAGCAGCACAATTGCAAAGCTGCTTCTCTGGTTTCAGAAAAACCAAATTATTCTTTTCTCTACCTATTCCGGGGATCCGTTTTCCTTCAATATCACTTTCATTCCATTCAATAACTGTTGGGGAGATTATACTTTGCTAACTGCACAAACTTCTGAAGGGAATTTTTCAGGGCATGGAGAAAAATAGCTTTTGAGAAAGTTCATTGTGTCTGTTATTTTTGTTCAGACATAATTGCTTAAGGAACTGGAGCAGAGACTAATCATACCTGCAAAATATGGCTCCAATCCAAAAATACATATGATTGAGTTTGCCCAAACAGTGAGTCTTTGGACATGTGTTTCTCAAGAGCATCATGAATCACTTCTGAGATGTTTGGCCATTTGTTTGCAAGGTAGCATGGACTGGGAGCAGGAATAAATTCTTTGAATTAAAAAAAAATCACTGAGAACATAGTGAAAACTCTCTAAATGTAGCTTTTGCATATTTTACTTTTCCCCTGGAGGTTGGGGTAGATTCTTGTATGAGTTATTGGGTGTGTGTTGCCTTCTAAAAAGGTCTTCCACCATATATAGTTCTTGCCCATGTACAGATTTTCAGAGCAACTGGAAAATGGATTCTTACAGAGTTGATTTGTAGAGTTAGGACTGGATTTGAGCCATGACTACTCAGATAGATCTGTGCACATTCAAATTAGTAATCAAGTTTGGATATATGTTTCTTCAGGTAATAGAAATAGAACCAACCATGTAAAATGTGAAATTTGTGATAATGCTGACACAAAAGTATATTTTGTAAATATGTAATGTTTATGTAAAGACATACAGTATTTGAGAGTAGGAAAGACATAATTCAGTTAATATTTCTGCGATTTAAAAAATAGCCACCAACTGATATGGAAGTAAAATAAAACTGATAATTTAATATATGCCAAATTGACGAGGACCAGAAATATACTGATCTGACCATCTAATCTAGAACCATTTTGTTTTTCCAATATTTTCTCCTAAGGACTCTGATTCCTCCTTCTACTATCTGTGCCAAGCAATATTTCTTATTTTAATGACCTTAAATAATGACTATTTTAATCAGTTTTGCACTATTTAGTTCTTAGCTGCTGCTTTGATACTTTTGTCTGTATTTGCAGTTCTAATATTGGCACTATTCATTGTAAACCCTTCTGTATTTTCATGGCTGCTTGTAGTGCTTACCATTTCCTGCTGTTTCTCTCATTTGTGACTGTGCTTTTAGTACGAGCCCTGTTCAGCCCTGATCATATATGAAAAGGCCAACCCAAAGATTGGTGGTAACCTGTCTGCCATGCTGGTTAGAAATTCTTGGAACTGTATTCCCGAAACATCAGGACGGAGCCAGGTTGAAGACTCCTGCTCTGTCCTGTCACCTTAAAATGCCCTTGTAGTAAACACGTCCTTGAGATCATCCCATGAAACTCACATTAATTATTAGTATGAACACAATTATCTACCCTTGATCACGTTAAGGAGGAAAATATTTAATCACCTCCCTATGAACCTACTTTCTCTGAGGCAGAAAGGTGTGGTAAAACCGAAAAGTGATAGAACATCTTAAGAATATCTACCCAACACACTTGTACATTTTATGAATGAAAGCTTTTTAAGTACTTCTAAATGAATTTTTGGAAATGGGAAGAAAATGTAGATGAATGCTGACAGGTGATACCTGATCAAAAGCAAAAAAAAAGCCTTTGTACCTTAATCACAGGACTTTTTTGGGGGGTGGGACTTCCAGATATTTTTGATCAGGTGTTTGAAGCTGTTTTTAAAAAACAACCCCACAGAGAGACATCCTGACTGCTTCCCTGTAGAGCGGTATACATTTGTCATTTCCCACATGGCAGGTCTGTGTGAAAACACCTACTTTAGGAAATTAATTTTATAATCAGGTGAGAGTTGAAAGATGTCCTTTATGTTGTACACTGAACATAAGACAGCACATACTTTGCCAACTTTTTAAACACAGGAACATCCCATGTAATTTAGGGTGGTGGTTGTTCATCTCTTCTCCTTTTTTTAAAGAAAAAGATATTATGAATCAACATTTCATAGATTTATAGTAAGTTTGTCTTTTATCTCCTCCTAGCTACAGTATGCTCTGTACTTCAGTTTTGGCCAGGAAATACTTTTCTGTTCCTGGTAAAAATCCTTTTATTGCAGCTCAGTTTTTTTTTCTTTCAAGGTGATTCATGCAGCAGTTGGAGGGGAAGAGACACTGCTGAGTTTTGACTCTAGAATCTCCTTGAATGGTTGATTGAGTGGTTGATTTGTTTGATAGGAACCTTCTGTCTTTTTTCATGCTGGTAAATAGAAAATACATGTGCAACTCTTCATCTTATGACATCACTCTGGGTTTCTCCTTGTTGACATTCAATATGCCTCTTTCTGATCTCCCTGATATGTAAATGACACACCCCTATCTGTTTTAGAGCAGGACCCTGAAAGTCAGCTCACAGCACTGGCTGATTTGCACAGATGTGTTAATTTACTTCTGCATCTGGCTGGTTTATTTGAAACCAGAGCAGCTCTGTAGGTATTGTGAAGGGGTTGTCTTCTCTTGGGTGAGAACTTTTGCCTCATCCTGCTCCAGGATTTCTGTTGTTTCAGGAGCGATGATAGCACAATGGAGCAATAACTGATTAGTGCAGGGAGCACGATTCAGCTCTTGATGTACTCCACATTTTGTGTTCTGCAAAAGTAAAGATTATTGCCAGTCAGTTCCAAGCCATTTTGTGAAAGATTGGGGATTTCTGTACTATAGGTCATCTCTCCAGCTCATCTTCCAGGACTTGATTTGGAATTTGATTTTATTTACAACCTTTGGTCTATGAACACGTATACTGGTAGTTCTTGGGAATTTATAAAACTCAGTATCTATAATCATTTCATAGGTTTCAAATATATTCCACATTAGAGGAGGGATAGGCAACCTCTCCAGATGTTTTGAGCTGAATTTTTTAATCAATACCAGCTAGGATGGCCAATGGCCAGGGATTGTCAGTTTTGTAAGTCTAACATGTTCTTCCGTATGGAAAGGTTTCAAAATGGTTTTGCAGCTTCAAAAAATGCAAAAGGTCATAGTCTGCTTCCAAAGACAAGGATCACAGTTACAGAATTCATCTTCATTTACTGGCTCTTCTTGAGCTTCAAAAGGTTATAATTAGCAGTTTTCTATTCAGATGAAACTAAGAGGTTCTGCCCTTCAGCATTAGATCCATATTTAATTAGAGTTCAATCAGGGATTTGTCCTGGTGACAATTTCTGGTGGCCAGGGGCATCTGTAGGGGCAGTAAAAAAAGTCAAAATGGCCTTGCCTCTTTTTACATATGATACACATAAAAAGGGACAGGCCTTTGATGACATGGTCATGGCTGCCATCTTGACTTTTTTGACCCACCTTTGCAAACACCCATGGACTGCATGAGTTACTGTCCTTATAATTTCTTGGTATTGAAGCAGGATATATTTATATAACTTGAATAAATGCCATGTATCTTGGCCCTATCGTCAGTTATTTCATAAATGTACATTAAATGTTATTTTAGCAGTGGATAAATCGCCACATACCAGAGGTTTGAAACTGGCCCTGCAGGATACAAAGATATGTAGAGATGTGATCTGAAACTCCCTTAAATATGAAAAGGGGGACTAGATGGCATTTCTGTAGCAATGACCCCTGCCACATCTGTTGACTGGGCTTATACAGATGTCTGCAAACAAACCAGTTAGCTTTCATACCAATAGAACAACAAGAAGAGCAATGCTACTAACCAGCAATAAGAGCTGAAGAATATAAAAGATGAATTCAGCTTTTTTGCTGGTTTTCCCTAACAGTGAGGCAGTAAGACCAGTGTTGTCCAAACTTGGCCACTTTAAGATGAGTGGACTTCAACTCCCAGAATTCCCCAGCCAGCATGG